GGCTGTTGTGCGCGGCATGCGGTGAGGCGTGGGTTAGGGCATGAACGATGGTGTGTGTGTGTGTGAGGTATGGGGTGCATGGGGTAAAGGCATGAGGATGGTGTGTGTGTGTGTGGTATGGGGTGCATGGGGTAAGGGCATGAGGATGGTGTGTGTGTGTGTGTGGTATGGGGTGCATGGGGTAAGGGCATGAGGATGGTGTGTGTGTTTTATCGGGTCCATGGGGTAAGGGCATGAGGATGGTGTGTGTGTGTTATCGGGTGCATGGGGTAAGGGCATGAGAAGTGGGAAAACCAGGTAAGAGAAGGGTAGGGTTAACCCGGGCATGGAAGGGAAGTGGAGGGTTCACTGAAAGGAACGAAATGGAAGGGATGGGATGAGTTTAGAAAGGGGAGGGGAGGGTAGCAGATGGAAGTGGGATGAGGTGGAGGGAATTGTAGAGTATCGATGGGAAGGGGAGAGGAGAGAAGGAAACAGTAAGGAAGGGAAGGTGGGGGAAGTGGTTGGAAGGTAGTGCAGAAGGGACAGGAGGTGAGGCATAAGGGGACTGCGGTGAGACAGAAGGGGAAGGAGTTGCCCGCTCACTTACCTTATTGAAACCGATTGTTGTAGTCTAGGTCCCTATGTCATGCGCATAGTCCATGAAACTGCAAATACATTGGGCGATGTGTTTTTGAGAATATCAGGACCAAGTCTTGAGGAAGCATGAACACAATGCAAAATCAATGTTCTTACCGAGAGGGTACTCTTCGCGGACGTTTGGACGGGCCGCACACATCATCGCGAAGACCGCTAACCCCGTCCCGGTGGCGATGCGTCGTCTATGGTGGGGAGAGTAGTAGTGCGTTATGAATGTTCAAGCACATGAGGGCATTATCATAATAATAAAAATATCAAATTTTGCGAACAAGGAGACAACAAACATGAAACACAACACTAACCGAGGGGCAAGTTTCGCCGAACGTTGCTCTTGGCCCCATGGTGCGGGGTGCGAATGCGTGTGCTCGCCCACGAGGCAGGAATGGCCACAGACCCAGGACTAGTGAAAACAAACGTGCCCGAAGGAGTCGACGGCGAAAAAGGGGACATGGTGGGTTGACCGATTACTGCCCGTGGTGGCGTAGACGGATAAATTATGGTTGTCCCAGTGGCAAATAACCCAGGGGCTCCCGTTCCCGAAGCATCTGCCACCCCAACCGCCGTCTCCACATCCTCCGTACCCCCTCTGATTTACCCTCCCTACCCCCACTGCCATATCCTTTCCATTCCCCCTTCCCCATATCCTCCTTTCCCCCCCCATGCCATACCCTCACTACCCCCACTGATTTAGCCTCCCTTCCCCCACTGTCCTATCCTCCCTACCCCCACTGTCCTATCCTTACCCTTCCCCCACTGCCATATCCTCCCTTCCCCCACTGCCATATCCTCCCTACCCCCACTGATTTAGCCCCCCTTCCCCCACAGCCTATCCTTTCCCTTCCCCCACTGCCATATCCTTTCCCTTTCCCCACTGCCATATCCTCCCTACCCCCACTGATTTTGGCCCCCCTTCCCCCACTGCCTCTCCTTTCCCTACCCCCACTGCCATATCCTCCTTTCCCCCACTGCCGTACCCTCCCTACCCCCACTGATTTAGCCTCCCTTCACCCAATGGCCTATCCTCCCTACCCCCACTGCCATATCCTTTCCCTTCCCCCACTGCCCTATCCTCCCTACCCCCACTGCCCTATCCTCCCTTCCCCCACTGCCATATCCTCCTTCCCCCCCCATGCCATACCCTCCCTACCCCCTCTGATTTAGCCTCCCTTCCCCCACTGCCATATTCTTTCCCTACCCCCACTGCGCTATCCTCCCTACCCCCACTGCCATATCCTCCTTTCCCCCCCTGTCGTACCCTCCCTACCCCCACTGATTCACCCGTCCCTTCCCCCACGGCCCTATCCTCCCTACCCCCACTGCCATATCCTTACCCTTCCCCCACAGACATATCCTACCTTCCCCCACTGCCATATCAAACCTTACCCCCACTGCCATATCCTTTCCCTTCCCCCACTGCGCCATCCTCCCTTCCTCCCATGCCAGAGCCTCCCTACCCCCACTGCCATATCCTCCCTTCCCCCATTGCCATATCCTTTCCCTACCCCCACTGCCATATCCTCCCTATCCCCACTGATTTAGCCTCCCTTCCCCCATTGCCTATCCTTTCCCTTACCCCACTGCCTATCCTTTCCCTTCCCCCACCGTCATTTCCTCCTTTCCCCCCCTGCCGAACCCTCCCTACCCCCACTGATTTAGCCTCCCTTCCCCCACTGCCATATCCGTTCCCTTCCCCCACTGCCATATCCGTTCCCTTCCCCCACTGCCATATCCGTTCCCTTCCCCCACTGCCATATCCGTTCCCTTCCCCCACTGCCATATCCGTTCCCTTCCCCCACTGCCATATCCTCCTCCCCCCCCCATGCCATACCCTCCCTACCCCCACTGCGCTATCCTCCCTACCCCCACTGCGCTATCCTCCCTACCCCCACTGCGCTATCCTCCCTACCCCCACTGCCATATCCTTTCCCTTCCCCCACTGCCATATCCTCCCTACCCCCCCCGCCGTACCCTCCCTACCCCCACTGCCATATCCTTTCCCTCCCCCACTGCGCCATCCTCCCTTCCTCCCATGCCAGAGCCCCCTACCCCCACTGCCATATCCTCCCTATCCCCACTGATTTAGCCTCCCTTCCCCCATTGCCTATCCTTACCCTTACCCCACTGCCTATCCTTTCCCTTCCCCCACCGTCATTTCCTCCTTTCCCCCCCTGCCATACCCTCCCTACCCCCACCGATTTAGCCTCCCTTCCCCCACTGCCATATCCTCCCTAGCCCCACTGCCATATCCTTTCCCTTCCCCCACTCCCATATCATCCCTTCCCCCACTGCCATATCCTTTCCCTATCCCCACTGCCATGTCCTCCCTTCCTCCATGCTTTTTCCTCCCTACCCCCATGCCATATCCTCCCTACCCCCATGCCATATCCTCCCTACTCCCCCTACTATATCCTCGCTTCGCCCACAGCCATATCGTTCCTTCCCCCACTGCCATATCCTCCCTTCCCCTACTTCCAGATCCTACCTTCCCCCTCCACTCTATACTCCCTACCCCCACTGCAGCCGCCATTTCCCTTCCCCCTCTCCCCTTTCCTCCCTCCAACCTATGCCTCTTTCTTATCCGGAATGGTGCAGCATTATCCGGTAGCATTGCTTCCAGTTTTCTGCCTCTCCATGCCAATGCACGCTTGGCGCCTTCGCCGTCACGCTGCATTTTTTCCGCAAACGCTGCACCACGTATTCCATGTCGACCAGACATGCTATGTTCCCCACTTGTATCATGTGTTGACCTCGTCTTTCCACTGCATTCATCACTGTGCACACACGCTCATCTATGTATATGCACCAATCACTATGTTGGCTAAACCCTACCGCATTGTCCAAGGCGCTCCCTCCCCCTACGTCCCGCGCTACGTCGTCTACACTAGCATGATGCGAATTCTCTCGTAGCATCACATCGATAGTTTCTAACGTGGCTTCAGTCAAACTGTCACCTCCGCGGGTACGCATTGTAGTTGGCGGTTATAGTCTTACGTACTCGTAGATGAATGTCGTAATCCGCAAAGCCGCACGACGTGCTGACCTAATCTGCAATGGCGTTGTTGGTCCCTAATAAACGCGCGCGCGATTCTCGTGGGAATGTAAACCCCGCGATTGCGTGTCAGCACGTTGCACTTGAAACCCGCCACGCAGTGGTGATCGACGGTCCAATAATGGCGGAAATGTGTAATAGCCGCTGTATAAATAAGGGGGCATGTGGGTGTGTCTCACATTGCTAAGCTACGTAAGTAGTATTTGCCCCTGGTGGTGGCTGGGCCATGCGGGCGTCTGAGTAGAAGTCGAAGGGGTTGCAGTCTCATATTTCAACCCTGCTTGGTAGTATTATGGTTGCTATCTGGCGGGGTGCTTTCGCCGATGCAAAAGATGTCGCACAGCCCTTGCTTCCCTGTGGGTTTCTGTCGCAACGGTGGGTCTCGCAAATTGTTGAGGTCCAGGGGGTGTCGAGGCAGTTGGGTGGACACAAGCCTGACCCGAGCCTGGTTTGGTTTTGTTTGACCGTAGTTTGGGTGTGTTTCCTCTGTCCAAACCACCCCAACTGCTTTTTGGCGACTTTTGCTGTGGTTACAGAGTTTCAAACGTATTACACTTGGTTGGGTTGGCCGAAATATGAGATCCGGGTTTTAAGAATAGAAGGATGTTGTGTCTCCTATCGAAGCAACCAAACTCAAGCACCAAACCAGCTTGCCCGCCCAAATTAGACAGAACGACAAGCACAGAACCACCCGTAACTGAATCAATTCTAGCCGACTGACTAGCCTCCAGTCAGCTTCGGCACGACAAGCACACAACCGCGGCTGCCACGTGGCATTACATGGCTTTAGCGTTATCTCTTGCTCTTCCGTCGCCCGCCAAAACGGCATGGAGCCATCACCCATGCGTCGCGAACCGAGCTGCTGGAAAATCTCGTTCGTCGTTCACGGCGCCGCTCGTTAATACGAGAATCCGCCGCTGCCGATTAAATGCACGCCCGTGCTTTCGCGTCTCCGCCTCATCCTCAAACAGTGATGGGGGTCCTTCGACGGAAGCTTCCTCGGTCCCTTCAGCATCTCCCACAACAGTTGACTCGAATGACGTCACCTCGATATCAGCGGGTCGCGATACCGAGTCCGTCAAAGAGACGCAACGACAGTCAACTGCCACGTCATCAGCCGGCCGGTCCCGCCGCGTGGCGGATTCGACGGACTGGATAGCTTCGGCGGTGACACGTAGGTTCGGCATCGGCGCGGGGCTGGCGTGGGTGGGGTTCCTGGCGTTCGGCGTGGTGTCGGAGCAGATCAAGACGCGGCGCGAGGTGTTTCTGGAAGAGAGCAACACGCGGTGAGCAAAAGGCGGGGCGGAGTGGGAAGAGATGGCAGGGGCGGGGGAGGCAGGGGCGGGGGAGGCAGAGTCGGGGGAGGCAGGGGCAGGGGAGGCAGAGGCGGGGGAGGCTCCACACCTCAAAAGGGAGACCTGGTACTTGTTTTCCGGTCTCTTACGCATTCACATTCCCTCTCCCTATCCGTCCCCCCGTTTGCATCATTTGCATGTCGGAACACCAGGGATGTGGAGGACGCAGAGGAAACTAGGCTTCCGAACAGAGTCACATTCACCAATCTGAGAGCGGGGGGGGGCGCCACTCCCCGAAAAGGAATCCTGGCGCTCATCTCTCTTGTCTTTAATATCCCCTCTTCTCTCCTCCTCCCCCTCCTCCACCCCACCCTCCTGTTTGCGTGTCTGATAACCAGGGATGTGGAGGATGCGGAGGAGACGGAGCTCCCCAATGGGGTCCGATTCACCGATCTGAGAGTGGGAGGCGGCGCCATCCCTCAGAAGGGAGACCTGGTGCTCGTCTCCCTTACAGGCCGCATCTCACTACCAGCACAAGCCAACACTAATGAATCTGAACCTGAACCTGAGCCAGTTACATTCATCGACACTACAGCGTCCGGGGCGCGGGACCTGGTGTTTTCGTTTGGCGTGCGGCCGTTCCCCAGGGGAGTTACTGAGGGGCTGGTTATGGCGATGGCGACGATGCGGGCTGGCGGGAGGAGAAAAGTTTTGGTGCCCGCGGATCTGGGGGACCGGCAGGGCAGCGGTGAAATGTTTGCAGGCGGAGCAGGAGGGGGTGGGGCTGCTGGTGGGGCGATTCTAGAATATGTTGTGGAGCTCAAACGAGTGTCCATCCCGCCTTCGTAGGGCTCTGCTGGGGCGTCGCTCTCTTCTGCAGGCAATGCGGCAATTCATGCGATGAGTGTGTTGGGCTGAAATGAAGCCCCTGGATCCAATCAACAGCGTGCATGCATGTGTGTGTGGATTACAGGCTCATGGTGTTAAGGACGCAAGTTTTGGTGTGTCACTTGTGGGGTTGGTTGGTGCAACACCTGCGTATGTTGTGCTGAGCTGAAATGCATGCGGATTGGCCATCCATCCGCCCTCGTAGGGGGCTCGTCTTGTCCAATCAAACACCGCTCGGGATGTGCTTCATCTTCATGTGTATGTGTATGTGCGCTTCTACCGTTTGTGTTCCACAAGGCAGAAAGGTTGCCGTTTCTGAAGGTTGGCTGTTCTGCTGGGCTGGGGTGCAAAGCAATGCTGCGACAAAAGTTGTCTATTGAAGTGCCTCTAAACTAGAGCAGCTGTTCTGTTGCTGGTGGCATAGAGTCGCATTGAGCTCAAAAGCGCGGCTGGCTAATGTTAGTTCCCCCAATTCAGGCCTGGTCCATCAGCAGGCTGTCTCAACAAGATGCTATGTACTGCAGCAAGCATATGGGAAAGATCCTCTATGGTCATAAATGTATGGAAGGTTACAGTGCAGACCATGTCATTCAGTGCAACTGTACACGTTCAAAAGATTACGTTACGACAGTAATTACAGTAACCTGGGAACAGCTACAGGAAGAGACCGACCCACCCAGTCGATGGATAAAGAGCCTAAAAGTTACCAGTAACCTAACGATCACCCAGCCGGTCCCAACTCAACCCAACCCACCCACGTCACAACACAACACAGCCCGCCCTGCCCTGTGGTGAGCTGCAAGCAAGCTCTAAACGGGCTGACAACTGAGCTACTACAGCCCTTTTGACGACTGCTCCTCCTGCCACGAAAAAGGGCTACTATTGCCCAGCATAAGCAAGCAGCTGCAATTACGAAGCGCGTACCTATGCTGCAGACAGAACCATCTGCTGCTGCAGTCCCATTTTGCATGTCCTTGCACCTCAGCCAACGGATTCTCCTGACCAGCGTATGCACCCCAGCTCTAGACTGACTACAGTACTATATGTGCTCCATCCACTCCTGTCATCCACTGCTCTAGACAGAGCGTCTTAACCACCCTGCATGCTCCATCCCTCCCCTTGAACTGCAAACTCTGTTACTACGCCATGTGTCCTCCCTTGCCCCGCACACCATGCCACTACACCCTGCGTCCTGCCTCCTAAGTTGCTCTTGACACGTACAAAGCAAATCTCACGGCACATGAGGAGCAGTGGCACGAGCACAAGGAGCCTCAGTGTTGCGTGACGCGAGCGCACATGCGTCACGAAGACAGAGTCCTTCTGAACCTTTTGAAACCATTCCGAATAGACTAAAATGACGGACTGAGGCAGTCCGGAGCTACACTACACGAGGAAGAGCGCCATGAGCAGTCTCTTTTAGAGCCGCCTACATGATAGTGTATTCTTCAGTCGACTAAAAAAAACAGGGCGAAGCGAAGCTGGAGCTAAACGAGGAAGAGCGCAATGAGCATATCGTTTAGAGGTGCATACTAAGTAGTGTATTTTGTAATCGACTAAAGAGCATACTAAACGATTCTGAAGCTATACGAGGAAGAGCGCCATGAGCACGAAAAGCCCCAGCATCAGCAGCAGCCGCGACAGGAACGCCTGCTGCTGCAGCTCCACCGGGTTCAGATTCTGCTGCTGCGGATTCACCGGCTGGTTCAACCCTCCCCCAGATGCACCTCCCCCGATTCCACCAGCCCCGGGCACCCCATCCTGCCCGGGAAAAGCGTGTAGTTGGAGGCCAAAAAGCGCGGGAAACAATCCGAAGCCTGCGGAAACAGTGAACCCGCCAAATTGAGCCGTTGCGAAGGGGCCGCCTGCACCTGCGAAAACTCCCATGCCTGGGTGGTTGTAACCCCACCCGCCGCCTCCGCCGGCTCCAGCTCCGCTTCCGTTAGGGTTCCTGACGGATTCCGTCCGCTGGCCGGCCGGCCGGCTTGGGATGTCTTCGTCTTCGTCAGGAACGGGTTTCTTGCGAGGATCGGACGGCGCTTTGCCTCTGCCGTACAGCGGAATAACTTTGGCTTCGTCGACTGCAGCCTTACAAACGGGGCACTCTTTATTGTGAGGGTTTCGGCGAAGCCACCGATATAGGCACGCCCAGCAGAAGAGGTGGCCGCAGAGCGTTATAACGGGGTCGTTGGCCGTTTCGAAGCAGATGTTACACTCAAAGTTACCGTCTGAACTAGGAGCTCCGGAAGTTGACGGCATGGTGCCGCTGCTCTCCCTGCCGTCTCTACTCTCGTCGCCGCTGCCGCTGCCGCTTCCGCTGCCACTTCCGCTGCCGCCGGGAATGTGGGAGGACGAGTGCGGGAATGATGAGGAGACGCCAGCAGTCGCCATCTTTGTCGAACAAGCAAGGAGTACTACCAGAACAGGGGCTCAAAGAATGCTGGCTTGTCAGCTAGACGGGACTTGAAAGAATATATACACGGTCCTTTTAGTTCTAAACTAGGACAACCAGCTCAGCTGACGTTATAGATTCCAGCTTCCGGATTCTAGAAGCTCGCGCAAGAGGTTGTAACTACACACCGAGCGAATGTTTTTTTCACAACCCTAGATTTGCTGACAAACGCGTTTGTGAATGACCCGTTTCCAGACGAGCACTTACAACTTGGACGTGAGGTGAGGTGGAATGTAGAGACAGGTTAACCCATAACAGAGTGCACTCGTAACACTCGTTATTCGCAGCTGTTCGCAAAAGCTAGATTACCAGGATGCCGCGATACGGACTATTTTGGAAATGACGCGCCCCAAACAGGACTTGTGTACAGTATGGGACTTACCGTAATGCCGCCAAAGCTGCAACTTGTTTTTCGGCCCAATCCGTTGAGGCACCACACGTACATCCATGGATTATTAGGGGAAGTTGTGATAAGACACACCAGAAACCAGTCAATAAGAGACGTTTACCTTATACGATATTCAACGTTTTTGTCTGGGTACTATGATACTAAATGCTCTGCATCAATGTGAGATTGCACATTACATCAGGTTGATCGCGGGTGCTGTTTACCAAGCAAGGTGCTGGTTCACAGACGCAATTGAGAGTTTTTCTCAAACGCAGCCCTTGAAAAGCCAGATGTGAGCCCTGGTGTTCTGGGAATTTCGAGCGTTTGCCTCTGTACCTACAAGGCTGGTGTAGGACCACTTTTTCTGACGCGACGCGACGCGAATTGTACGATTGAAAATTGGAATGTGTTGATTGGCCTTGGCAGGTGGAAGGGCGGCGACATCAGCTCCTTTCTGTCGTTACCAATCCAATCAAAAACGAGCAATCAGGACAACTCCTCCCCCCTTCCCACCCACCCCACCAGTTGGAAGAACTCCATCTCCCTCCTGTGATTAGCCTCCTTGGCTACAGTGAGAGACAGTACAGTATATTACGTTGTCGTACGGTACAAAGCGGTACGTCTATGTCCTTGGAGCGACTATTTATTTAGACGACTCATATCAACCTGCGTCCTCCTTCCTATGGCCTTTGCTGTCTTCTTCACTTACGTTCGGTGCAGCATTAGGACCAACGTGGAGTCTGCAGTGGATGCAAAACCTGCTCACAGCAGCAAGCATCCTCGTCGTTCGACATCCAGGTTCCCCTCTGTCGTTCTTCCCGTCGCCTTGCCATGTCTGGGTACGTGTACCGTCGCCTCGCCGTGTCTATCTGGGTTCCGTCTGTCACCAGCACAAGGCATGGCTGTTCTCTACCTCAAGCTACGGTCGTGCCATCGTCTCAATTACTATGGCCGAAAAGATTGTCCCGTCCTAGAATCTTATCATTTCCAGCCCACGTTCCCCGTGGGACAGGACAAGCCAGGAATCGTCTTGACGGTCAACACCTAGCTCCGAACTATGTTTTTCCAGTCCAGAATCTTTTATGATTTTCAATCTATGTACATAATACAGCAGTTTCAATATACCCTAAAGCATCGCGCAACTCCCCGCGTCGCTCGCCCCACGTCCCTACTAATGACAAGCGCAGCGGCATTCGCACTCAAACGGTAGGCGTGGATTACGTTGAAACTCTCTGGTCATCCCTCTCTCCGCGATAAGGGATTTTTTCTGACCCTGTGAGATATTAGTTTTTTGTTGAGCCAGGAGTCGAGCCACAGCTTCCGCAGTACTTAATACGGGAAGTCTCGCCGCGTTGGGACTCCGAAGGACGCAGCGCGGCCGCCGCACGTAGGAAGCACCGTCGCAGGCGTAGTAGAACTTTTTGAAAGGTGCAGCAGCCGCAGCGCTAACCCCAACGGAATCACATTATCAGAGGAAGAATGGGTTTCGCAGTGGATAGTTGCGCAATCGACGCAGTATTCCCGCGCGTCGAAACCGACAGACAGAAGCTGCCGGATTTTGCCGTCGCTGGCGCTGGCTGGCGCGGCTCGTCGTTTAGCAGCGGCACGACATCAGCAGCAGGTCGACAGTTGCCGCCCGTTCAGCGGGTGATTCCAACGGAACATGAAGCTGATTTTGATGGCCGGCAAGTCGCGCTCTTAGCTCACCCGGCAAACGACGACTCGTCGTCGGATGACGACGATGACGTGGCAGAACGCGCGATGCGAGCCGTAGGAAGAGCCGCGCCGCCGACGAGCTTGCCGTCGCTTGTGTTTCCCGGAAATATTTCGCAGCGCGACGCGGATGCGAGTAACGGCCATCGGCGTAGCCCCTCCTCCCCGATCATGCCGCTAGCCATGGCGTTTAAGGAGTGTGATAGTAACGGGAATCCGCGCGCAAACGCGCTGCGCCGACACGTTCAAGGAGCTCGTAGTGAAGCTGAGGCTTCGCTGGCGGCGAATGCGCCTGCAGCAGTCGCACGGAGTGAACGACAGTCGCCGAGGTGTCGCACAACGTCGCAGTCGATGCACGACATGACCCACGTCCCACGTACCAGTACCGGTACTTGTAGGGCCGAGGCGCTGAAACCGCAGCCCTGGGAGTTTCAGCAGCAGCAGCAGCAGCAGCAGCAGCAGCGTGAGTGTAACGCTAGCAGCACTACAAGTAGTAGTAGAAGCAGAGGAGGCGCCAACCGCGGCGACATTTTTGAGTCGACTCAAGAATCGCAGCAGCGTGAGTGTAACAACGCTGGTACTAGCAGAGGCGAAGCAGCAACAACTATTCGTAGAAGAGGAGGCGCCAATCGTAACAGCATAAACAGAAGCAGCAGCGACGTGATGACTCGTCTCGAGGCGCACAACCAGCTACGGCGACGCGCGTACCTGTCGACGCGATCCGCGGTTGCCAGCCAATCATTCTCCGCCGCAGCAGCAGCGGCAGCGGCGATAGTTGCGGCGACTGCGACGGCTGCGGCCGCGGCGACGTCTGCGACCCCGGCTGGAACAGTGACAGTTGCGACGGCGACAGCGGCAGTATCGCCAAGAGCCCCAGCGGGCATAAAACCAGCTCCGCAATTCGCGGGGTCTCCTCCAGCGCCCGTTCTTTCGGCAGCCGCGGAAGCAGCGGAATGCGCCGCCGTTTCGTCCACGGCGCGGCCGGCAGTACCCCGCGGCCGGCGCGTGCTGCGCAAGGCGCAGTCGGAGACGCAGAGAGCCCCACTGTGGCGGCGCAGTCTCTCCCCCTCCCCCTCCCCGCCACGCCAGGGCCCCGCTCCGCCGCCGCTCCGCGCCACGAGAGCCGCCGCCGCCGCGAGTGCCCGCGCCAACTGTAGCAGCAACCGTAGCAGCATTTGTAGCAGCAGGTGTAGCAGCAACTGTAGCAGCATTTGTAGCAGCATCTGTAGCAGCAACTGTAGCAGTAACCGTAGCAGCAGCAGCAGCCCTAACTCGACTCTGTTGGTGCGCCGCGATGCGAGCAGGAACCCGCTGGTGCTACGACTGCCTAAGGACGTCGGCAAGAGTAGCTCTGTAAACACTATAACTACTACAGCTGCTACTGGTGCTGCCGCGCCGCGAGCCCCGCGCGCGTTGCGCAAGGCGCAGTCGCTGAACCAGACCGCGTGGACGCGCAACGTCCCCTCTTCCTCCCCCTCCCCCTCCCCTCCGCGTCGGTACCTTCCGCCGCTCCGCGCCGAGCGGCCGCCACGGAACCCTTCCCCCTCCCCCTCCCCTTCCCCCTCGCCTTCCCCCTCCGCCTGCCTGTCCCCTTCCCCGACGCGCTTGCGCCAACTCACCCCGCCAAATTCCTCTTCTAGAAGTCGGGCAGATGAAAGGGTAGGCGAGCGGGCAGGTGAACGGGCAGATGATGATTATATTGAGGAGGACCGCGGTTTTGTCTTCACGCCGTCATACATGTACGCGAAACCCCCTCCCCAGCCGATTTCTTTGTCGCCTCGGCCGCCGCCCGTTCCCTCGCCACGTGGCAGTCTTCCATTGGGGCCAGCTGTCAAATCGCCACGTGGCAGTCTCCCGTTTGGACAAGCTGTCGAATCGCCACGTGGCAGTCTTCCATTGGGGCAAGCTGTCAAATCGCCACGTAGCAGTCTCACATTCGGGCAATCTCATAGCTATACACGTGGCAGTCTCACGACGGCTGTCACATCGCCACGTGGCAGCCCCCCATTGGTCGCGAACGCGCTGCTGCCGCCCCTCTCTCCGCGGCCGTCCACGGCACCGCAAGAGTCGCCCCGCCTGCAGCCCCTCCCCGTCGTTTCGCCACGTGGCAGCCTGCCATTGTGGGAAGCCGGGCCCGTGATTCTCGGCCAGAAGCAGCGAATGAGAGGCAAGAGCTTCAGCGTGAGCAGCGAGAGCAGAAGCAGCAGCGAGGAGATTTTATCTGGTGCAGCCGCAGCAGCAGCAGCAGCAGTAGCAGCAGTAGCACGAGAGCAGCAACAACAACAGGCAGCAGCGGCGGCAGTGGCAGGTGCAGGTGTATGGGGAGGGGTGGGAGGGGGAGAATCAGCAGCAGCGGCGGCGGCGGCGGTATCCCGCGGGGGGCGGCACACGCGGAGCGCGTCCGCCGTGGTGCAGAGCCCCACGCACCCGCTCCCGCCGCTCCCCCAATCAGCTGCTGCCACGTGGCGCAGCTGGGGCCGCGCGAGCATGTCGTGGGTGGGCAGGCGCAGCGCGCGGGAAGGGCAGGGGCAGCCCCGGGGGGAGGGCGAGCGCGGGGAGGCTGAACAGGGGAAGGTAGAGCTGGGCAGGGAAGAACTGAGAGGGGCGGAGGTGGGGCAGAGGGATGACGAGGTAGAACCAGGAAAGGTAGAACTAGGTCCCAGCAGCGAAGCTGACGAGTGCGAGGCGGCGATGATTTGCGTTGACTCACCAGGAAGCCAAACTCCACCGTCGCCGACCCTTGGGAATACCGGCACTACAGCTGGGGACCTTACAATGGGGGGGACCGGGGAGGTCAAGATGGGGGAAGCTGGGGATCTGAGAACGGGAGCAAGGACATCAAGGCGAATGGCCCCTCCTCCTCCTCCGCTCCCTCCGCCTCCTTCTCTCTGCCCTCCTCCTCCGCCGCTCCCCCCTCCTCCTCCCCTTGGGCTCTCCTCTTCCCGCCGCCGCGCCTCCTGCCCTTCCTTCCTCCTCGCCGCGCCCCCGCTTCTCCGCGACCTCCTTAGAGGCTGCCTCGATAACTCATTTAAAGACGCGCCGGATGATTATGTAGACGGGTATTTAGACGACCAGGAGGGCGGGGCTGGGGCCGCGGAGGAGGAGGAGAAAGCGAAAGGTGGTGGTGAAAGGGAGGAGAAAGGAGGTGGTTTCGAAGGGGTGAAGAGGGATGGCAAGGCTGGTGAGGCGGTTCAGCATGGGGACTTGTACGGGGAAACGCCAAGAGGAGTGGCGGGTATGGCGCATGGCAAGTCTGGTGGGGGGGTTGGGCACGGGGAGTTGAGTTTTGAGGCAATGCCCGTGCCTCAAAAGCAGGCGGTAGTGCATGGGGGGGACTTGTATGGGGAGATGCCGATATCATCAGCATCATCATTGGTATCGGGATTAGCTGCCACGCCCACAGCTGCTGCTGCAAGGAGAGCAGCGAAGGGAGCAGCGATCGTAGCAGCAGAAGGAGAAGCGAAGGGAGCAGCAGGGGAAGCAGCAGGGAAGAATGAGCGGGTTGCGGGCAGGGTGACAGACGACAGAGCAATCGGCAGAGAGAGTGGCAGAGAGAGTGGCAGGGAGAGTGGCAGGGAGAGTGGCAGGGAGAGTGGCAGGGAGAGTGGCAGGGAGAGTGGCAGGGAGAGTGGCAGGGAGAGTGGCAGGGAGAGTGGCAGGGAGAGTGGAAGATCTGCCCGCAGGAGTATGAGGGGAACCTCTACAGTCCCAGACAGCCCCTCTATCAGGAGGCGTGGGGGGGCGGTGGGCAGTGGCAGGCAGCTGGGCTACGGCGGTGCTGTGGGTTCATTCAGAGACTTTGTGCCTTCGCATAACATCGTGCCTTCAAACGACATGAGTGACGCCGTTCCGTCGAGTGATCCCGTGCCTCTGACCGGTTCACACATGACGTTTGAGGCGAGTGATTCGGTTCCAGGTGATTCGGGGTACAGTCGCCGCCGCGATGCGTCTGCCCAGTTTTTCTCCTCGTCTTCTGGCGATGCGGGTGGCTCAGGTCGCTGGAACGGTTCAGAACGGTTCAGTGGGCGTGCGGAGGGGCGTGGGGAGGTGCAGAAGCTCCAGAAAAAGCAGCAGGAGGATAATCAGCTGCAGAAGCAGAAGCAGCAGCGGGAACAGCGTGAGCAGAAGCAGGTGCAGGCAGCAACCCCGCCGCCCTTGAAACTAGCAGAGGGGGGAGGCGTGCAGGGGAGCGTGCTAGGGCGGCCGTACGTTACACTGCAGAGCCGCTTCGTGGTGGGGAGAAGGGAGATCGGGCGAGGGCAGTTCGGTGTGATCTACAAGTGTGTGCCTCGCGGTGCGCTTGGAGGGGCGGCGTTCGCCTGCAAGACCATAAAAAAGAAGGACATCCAGGTGGGAAGGGCATATTTAGTCTAAGTAATGCTGGTTTTTTTCCCTGGTGTGCATAAGAACCCACTGCTACTGCTGTTGCTGCTGCTGCTGCTGCTGCTGCTGCTGCTGCTGCTGCTGCTGCTGCTGCTGCTGCTGCTGCTGCTGCTGCTGCTGCTGCTGCATCTTCATCCCACCACTCTTCCATTTCTGCTCCCTCCCGTCCATCCCCAGACCCTGCCAGGAGCAGAGGATATCCGGAGGGAGGTAGAAGCATTGGAGCGAGTGAAAGGGCATCCCGGCATTGTGGAGCTAAACTCCACATTTGAGGACCCCCAGGCCGTGCACCTGGTGATGCAGCTGTGCCGCCACGGAGACCTCTTCGACCACGTCAAGACACGCACACGCCTCCCCGAGCCCACTGCTGCTGCTGCATCTTCATCCTAACTCTTGTCCCTCCATGCTCTCCCCTGCTCCTCCCCGGTCCCTCCCAGACCCTGCCAGGAGCAGAGGATATTCGGAGGGAAGTAGAAGCATTGGAGCGCGTAAAAGGCCATCCAGGGATAGTGGAGCTAAACTCCACGTTCGAGGACCCCCAGGCCGTGCACCTGGTGATGCAGCTGTGCCGCCACGGAGACCTCTTCGACCACGTCAAGACACGCACACGCCTCCCCGAGCCCACCGCCGCGTGCATTCTAAGCCAGCTGCTGCACGCGCTGCAGCACTGCCATGACTTGGGCGTGATTCACCGCGATGTGAAGCCGGAGAATGTGCTTATATATGCACGGGGAGGGGGAGGCGGGGACGGGGAGAAGGTGCTTGTGAAGCTGGGGGACTTTGGCGTCGCAACCCGGTTCTCCCCAGGTGAGAAGTGGTGCCGTGCCATAGTAGTAGTAACAAGTGCTGTGCTGCCACGTGTTCCAGGCACGCCCTGCACGAACCTTTGAGGCGCCTCAAAAGTAGCCCGAGGTGAGAGGCGGTGCCGTGCCATAGTAGTACTAACAAGTGCTAACAAGTGTTGTTCTGACAAGTGCTGCCACGTGTTCCAGGCACGCCCTGCACGAACCCATTGGGAACGGCCATGTACATGCCTTGCAAGGCATGTAAGACACGGAAGCTGCTGCAAGGCAGCTATGGGCCCGCCCTAGCCGATACAACCCCTGTCTGGGTATTGACTCATCTAGACCCTCGGTTCCCTTCCTTCCTGACTTGATCTGTTGTTTTCCAGGCATGTCCTGCATGGACCCAGTGGAAACGGCCATGTACATGTCACCAGAGCTGCTGCAAGGCAGCTACGGGTTGGCCAACGTGATACAGGCACAGTCAGGGCTGTGACTCATCTTATCCCTCGATTCCCCCTCTGTCCCCCCCTATGGACTTGTAAATTTCCATTGCAGGCATGCCCTGCACGGACCCAGTGGGGACGGCCATGTACATGTCACCAGAGCTGCTGCAAGGCAGCTACGGGTTGGCCAACGTGATACAGGCACAGTCAGGGCTGTGACTCATCTTATCCCTCGATTCCCCCTCTGTCCCCCCCTATGGACTTGTAAATTTATATTGCAGGCATGCCCTGCACGGACCCAGTGGGAACGGCCATGTACATGTCACCAGAGCTGCTGCAAGGCAGCTACGGGCCGGCAGCAGACGTGTGGAGCGCCGGCATCGTGCTCTATGTGATGCTCTCCGGGGCTCTTCCTTTCTTTGCCACCAAGAATCGCACGCTTATTGAGGCGATCATGCACGTGCCGGCTCGGATGGAGGGGCCGCGGTGGGAAGGAGTGTCGGAGGGAGCGAAAGCGGTGGTGAGGAGGATGCTTGAGAAAGATCCAGCGGAGAGGGCCACAATACAACAGATTCATGGTGAGCTTTGGTTATTTAATTTTAAGAGAAAATGACTCCTCCGTTTTGCTTCTTTGTTCAACAAATTTTGATTACACGTGTCTTACCTTCAACGGCTTGCTCCTTTTGTGCCTGTGGAAAATGCAGAAATTTCCTGGATGAAGAAGTACAACAATTGAAGGTATATGTTATTGAGCATGTGTACAGCATGATTGTATCTGTTATTCTATATAATCCGATAGAGCTGGATCCGTTTTGTTTCCATGGTTTAGATTCAAGCAAATTCAGTTTGATTCCACGGCTTCGGTTTCACGTTACTGTACTGTGCGCGACAAGATCTGGGGCCTTCCAACCAATCCGTTATTCGGGTTTTGGCGATGGTCTTTTGATGTTTGAGGTAGTAAGACACTTCTAGGAAGGGTTTATGCATGTCTGTATGCTTGTTGAAATGTAATTTTGGTCCGTTATTCGCGTCCAATTCTCGGGAGACCATGCCGTCAAAATTCAGGTTCCTCGAGAACCTCAACCTGAGAACACTCGCGAACTGGTTTCAGGTGCTCACTAATGAATTGGTAATCATCGTCATAAGCTGACGAGCGCGGTAACCGATTTCGCCATACCTGCGAGCTTGTTTCAGGTCGTGCTGGCGAAGCCATAGGGACTGTTCCCAAGGGCAAACCAGCTTCGTCAGGCTGTGTGTGAGGCGTGCGCGGGAAATGTGCACAAGCCAACAGACGAACCCACCTCCCCTTTCCCACTCACGCCGCACCAGCATTCAGCACACCAATGAACAGACCGCTTGAGACCAGACTCCAAAGCAGTTGAGCATTGACGGGGAGGGAAGCATACTGTAGAGAGGGAGAGAGAGATACAGGTCACGATGCGAGTTCATTCATACACAGTATATTTATGAATGTTCAGGGTGGTTGACAGCGGTTCAAAGTGGTGAAGCGACATATCGCTCTAGATTGCACAACATCGTCCTCAACCGCTTCTACCGAACAGAAAGTTTCACCCTTGTGACGCGCCCTAAGTTTCTTCGTGAATATGTGAAGTCCTTACTAGTTGCCGTCCCGCCATGAAGTGATTGATTAACTACTAACAGACAGACACAAAGCTCTAGGCACGACTTTCATGTCAGTTACGTTTACCAATCTAAGTTACAAGCGGTAGCGGAGTTCGTAGTAAGCGGAGAGCTGGAATGGACGTGAAAGGCTCTATGGGAGACTGGTTTCGGTCTATTTTCCGCATAGACCTTGCTTCGAGATAGCATTCAACGATTTGGATGCGAGTGACACGAATCGAGCTCCCAGTTTAGCAAGATGGATGGAAACCAATTAACTGCAGAGTCTCAAACTGACCGAGCCGCACCGCGGCTCGCATCACTAGGCCCAGCGGCGCGCGATGCGGCGCAGGATGAGTACGCTTTGGCGGACGATCATCGGTCGCAGGGCGACGTCGCAGAGTGGCCGTCGGCTCTCGACCAGCTGTCGCAGCCGAACTCGTTTCGCGCGGACGACTGGGACCTGGAGCAGGGCGACAGCCGAGATCCCGACGGCGAAATCGGCGGAGATGCCGCTCTCTACGACAGCCGAATCGGCGGCGGCGGAAGCGGGAGAATGGGGCAGTCCGTCGGCGCGAGCAGGAGGGGGGGAGGCGGGGATAGCATGATACGCGGAGAGAGAGGCGGAGAGAGGGACGATGGGGGATATAGAGGCAGCGCTAGAAGCGGAAGGAGCGAGGGGGGGGCTTACGTAGTCGAGATGGACATGGGTAGACAGGAGACTCTTTCGCATGGCCTCGCGGACATGCCAGATGGTAACCCGGTAACCATAGCGCCTGCCAGAGGCTTGGTCGATGGCGATGCCGCCGCGAGAGACGGTGAGAGTGAGAGCAGCGGCGACTCATACCAGGACGCGGAGAGCTTCTCGTCTTCTGGCGAGTCTAGCCTTAACGAGTACGGGCAGGAGGGCGACGAAGAGGAGAGTCTCAGCAGCCACTCCGGGGACGAGGAGGACGAAATCGGGGAGGCTTATAACGGGGCGAAGAGGAACACGTGGCCGTTGGTGGTTGGCATGAGGGAATTAAAGTGGTGGCAGCAGGCGGTGCTGGTGCTGGTGGTGGCTGTGGGACTCATTGGAGTGTCATTCGCCATGCTGGCAGCGGCCAAAGTGGGAGATCTGCTCTTCCTGCCTGCTCCTGTCTGGCCCCCCACTGGCCTCGCGCTCTTCGCCGTCCTCGTGAGCTCTCTGTCCCCCTACTTGGTTGGTAACACAGGGCGTTCCTTTTTGAGTCGACTCAAAAATCAGGTGGGGCTGGCGGGAGTGTCTGCTGGCATGCTTGCTGCAACCAAAGTGGGAGACTTGCTCTTCCTGCCTGCGCCTGTCTGCCCCCCCACTGGCCTCGCGCTCTTCGCTGACCTCGTGAGCTCTCTCTCCCACTACGAGGTTTCACAGGAGCTTAAAAAAAAAAGGCATTTGCTGCCGTCGCGAGCTCTCCCTTCACTTGGTTCCACAGGGTGTTTTTGAGAATCCCTTCCAAAGGACGCTCTCCCTCACCTCACCTACAACCCAGACGTTCTAGCCAAATCGTATCCTCCATATGCACGTTGGCCTGCCTTTGCCCCATATGCACCCCCATCCCTCCTCCCACCAGGCACTGGACTGGGCTATCGCAGGCACCGCCCTCTCGCTCACCTATAACTCTGGGACGTTCTGGTCAAATCTTATGCTTTGTTGGCCTGCCTGTGCCTCATCTTTACTCCACTCCACCCCATCCCTCCTCTCTCCCAACAGGCGTTAGGCTACCGCATCTGGCCGGCGCTTTTCCTCTCAGGCACGGCCCTCTCACTCACCTACGGCGCCCTCCACGTGACCCTGCCGCGCCTGCAGCTCATCCTCTACTCCCTCGTTATAGGCACGGACCGCACGCTCTTCGTGCTCCTCCTCGCCTTCTTCCTCATGCGCTTCCTCCGCCACCAACCCACCGACCTTACCCCCCCCTGGACCCCGTTTCTCTGTCTTCCTGCCCCCTCCCTTCCCCACCCCATCCCCAACCCCATCCGTCCCCCCAACAGGCGCTGGGCTACCGCATCTGGCCGGCACTCTTCCTCTCAGGCACGGCTCTCTCGCTCACCTACGGTGCCCTGCATGTGACCCTGCCGCGCCTGCAGCTCATCCTCTACTCCCTCGTTATAGGCACGGACCGCACGCTCTTCGTGCTCCTCCTCGCCTTCTTCCTCATGCGCTTCCTCCGCCGCCAACCCACCGACCCCACCCCGCTAGACCGTGTTCCTCTGTTGCCCTGCCCCCTCCCCTGCCCCCCTCCTCCCCCCCACCCCATCCCCACCCCATCCCTCCTCTCTCCCAACAGGCTCTAGGTTATCACATCTGGCCGGCTCTTTTCCTCTCAGGCACCGCGCTCTCGCTCACCTACGGTGCCCTCCACGTGACCCTGCCGCGCCTGCAGCTCGTCTTCTACTCCCTCGTTATAGGCACGGACCGCACGCTCTTTGTGCTCCTCCTCGCCTTCTTCCTCATGCGCTTCCTCCGCCGCCAGCCCACCGACCTCACCCCGCTCGACCGCGTCTCCAACACCTTCCGCCTCTTCTTCTTCTCCTTCCTCATCTCCTTCATCTTCGAGGGGATCGTGTCAATCGTCCTGAGTCTTATCGGAGCAGAGACACCTGAAACTGCTGCCATTACTGGGTGCTTTCGAACGCTGGCGAGCTTCTCAGGGATCATTCTCACGCTGCCGTTGCTTATGCAAGTGGCGGTGTGGAAACCTTTCCCAGCAGCGTCATCAGCGTCATCACCATCAGCTGCAGCAGCAGCTGCACAAATCCAACCTGATCCTTGTTCTCCACATTCCTCCACATCCCATCCGCCTTCCCACTCCTTCCCTCCCATGCAATCCTGGCTACCCTTCCTCTGCCAACTTCTCTCCACCCCCAAAAGCTGGGAATTCCTCGCTCTATTCCTCCTCAACACAGGCATCTCTCTCCTCATTTTCGCCCCAGGAGCCAGCCCGCTCATCGTCTCCCTCCCCTACATGCTCTTCCCGGGGGTCCTCTGGGCGGCGGTTAGATTTAACCGCCACGGGTCTGGCCTCATGCTGCTGCTGGTGGTGCTGATCGCCTGCTGCTGCACCGCCAGAGGGTGGGGCCCGCTGGTGAGGGAGAAGGCGAATGAGACGATTCTGCAGCTGCAGGTGTTTGTGGTGACGGTGGGCGTGGTGGGAGTGGTGGTGGCTGCGGCTGTGAGGGACACGAATCGGCTGAGGAAGGAACTGAGGCGGCTGAATGCAAGGCTGGAGGGGGAGGTGCAGCGACGCACAGAGCAGATCAGACAGTACAATGAGGTGAGTGGGTGAGGTGGGGTAGCCGATGCAGTCACTGACTGAAACTCTTGGGGGGCGAGGCTGGAGGGGGAGGTGCAGCGGCGCACGGAGCAGATCAGGCAGTACAATGAGGTGAGTGGGGTGGGGTGGGGTGGGATGACATGTGTGTGTGTGTGTGTGTTGGTGGACCTTTGAAGTGAATACAACGAGGTGAGTGGGGTCTCCTGTGCAGTGACTGACTGACTGAAACGCAGGCAGTACAACGAGGTGGGCTGGCTGGATGACACCTGTGTGGATTGGGTGATCTGTGTAGTGACTGGAACGAGGTGAGTGGGTGGGGTGGGGTGACACCTGAGTAGCTCAAAAGTCACACACCTCCTGTCTGAGTCCGCCATGGTCCGGCTTTTGAGAATTCTAAAATGTGATTCAGATCCACCATGGTCCCAGCCTCCTTGCTCTTTGAAGCTTCCGCCATCCTTCTGTCCCACCTCTTTCCTCCCTCCCTCCCCACTGTGTGGTTCCGTGGTTACAGGATCTGAAGAAGTCCAAGGAGGAACTGGAGGAGGCAGGAAGGGCCAAGACGGAATTTCTAGCCAACATGAGCCATGAGATCCGGTAACGTCATGCCCTACTGCTGCTGAACAGCAGTCATATACGGTACCAATGATGCGATGATCACGTGAGATAGGTACTGTGACATGAAACTGTAGGCTTTTGGCCTTTGAGCAAGTTCAGGAACAGTAGGCTCTAAGCCACCTTTCATCCTCCCTTCCCCCTAGCGCGTCCATCCACATCATCGGCATTACAGTCCTGGCTATGGGTGCTCGCTCATGTTCTAATCTCACCACTCCATTCCTCTCCCATCCTCCCCTCTCTCCATCCTCTACTGCTTCCCCTCCCTCCCTCTCCCCCCACTCACAGCACGCCCATCCGCCGCATCATCGGCATGACAGCTCTCGCCATGGACGCACTCGAGTCCCTCCGTGCCATCCCACCCCATCCCTTCACCTCATGCCATCTTCTCATTCCCCTCGTCATACCCCTCTCCTTCCGCCACAGCACGCCCATCCACGGCATCATCGGAATGACAGCTCTCGCCATGGACACTCTCGAGTCCCTCCGCGCCATCCCGTTACCACCCATCCCACACCACTCCTCCTCCCACTCCGCCTCTGCCGCCGCAGCAGCAGCAGCAGCAGCAGCGCTGGCGGAGCGGAGCGATCTGACGGTGGAGGTGCATGAGCATCTGACGGTGGTGGCGCAATCGGCAGATTGCCTGCTGAACATCGCCAACACTGTGCTGGACCTGGCGAGAATCGAAGCAGGGCAGCTTGCTCTGGATAAAGTGCCTTTCCGGCTGCGGGATGTGGTTGGCTCGACCATGCGAATGCTGCAGGTGAGTGGGGTGGGGGAAGGAAACAAGGTAAAACAGGGTTGGCAGGGTCATGCATGGCGGACGGACTGTCTGCTGAACATTTCCAACACCGTGCAGACTGACTGCTGGACCTTGCCAGGATCGAAGCAGGGCAGCTGGCTTTGGATAAAGTGCCGTACAGACTGAGGGATGTGGTTGGCTTGGCTCCACCATGCGCATGCTGCAGGTGAGTGGAGTGGACCATATGGTGGTGCTGGTAGTGCTGGCTGGAGGGTGTTTTTGAGAATTCTCAAAAACACCCTGCTGGTAGTGCTGGCTGGAAATGCTGATGGAGCTGAGCTGATGGGGGCAATGCTTGATGCAGCATTCAGTTTTTCCCTTCCTCGCCTCACTCCCCTCCCCCTGTCTCCACCACCCTCCAGGTACGGGCGGGAAAGAAGTAGCTGCCTTCTCATTGCACCTTGTGGAGAACGTGCCTCTGGAGCCCACGGGAGCAGATGCTTGGTAGGAGCGCTCACATCCCTTTTGTCCTCTCGTTTCTCCCCGTCCTCCCGTTCCCTTTTTTCCTCCTGTTCCTCCCACTCCTCCCGTTCCTTTCCACCCTCCCGGCTCTTTTCCCCTCTCTCTCCCCTCTCTGCAGGTGCGAGCGGAGCAGAAGCAGCTGGCCTTCTCATGGCACGTGGCAGAGAAGGTACCTCTGGAGCTCATGGGGGACCCGGGCAGATTGCAGCAGTGCCTCATCAACCTTGGTAAGGAGGCTTTAGCTCATGATCCCCCTCTTGTCAGAAAATGCAATGCTGGGTCAATCATTGCATTTCTTGCTATCCCGACTCTTTCCCAAAGAGCCTCTGGAGCTGATGGGAGAGGAGACACAGGCGGGCTGCCGCAGTGCCTCATCAACGTTGGTAAGGAGTGCAATGAATGCCCTGCTCTGATCTGCTGTTCCCTTGAAACATTCTCTGCACAGGTGTTCTTGCCGAGTGTCAACTCTCCTCTTTTCGTCTCTCTTCCTCCCCATCCCTCCACCAGTGGGTAATGCGATCAAGTTCACAGAGACAGGGTCAGTGACGCTCGAGATTTCCCTGCTCTTCCGCAGCAGCACCTGTATCCTCACCAACATTCCAATTCTCCCTCCCCTTCTCTTTTTCCACTGCCAATCTCTCCCCATCCCTCCACCAGTGGGCAATGCAATCAAGTTCACAGAGACAGGGTCAGTGACCCTCGAGATCTCCCTGCTCTTCCGCAGCAGCCGGCACCAGCAGCACTGCCAGAAGCAGGGGCAGCGGCGCAAAGACAGGCAGCAGCGCCACCACCGCCGCCACAAGTCCTGTATCTCCAACCTCGAGGAGCAAGGGCCAGGGCAAGCGCAGGGGCAGCAGCAGGGGCAGCGTCACAGCCATCAGAAAAGGCAGCGAAAGGCTGTTCCCAGGTCTATGACTTGTCCCGCAACCCCCAGCACTCCCGCTGGTGCTGGTGATGTGGGTTCTCTGGCTGCTGCTGCTGCTGCTGCCGCAGCTGAAGCGTCGCGTGTGCAAGGCCGACCACAGTCAAGGGAAGGGATTTTGTTGTCTGCTTCTGACAAGGTTCCTGGAAGTTTCCTCGCGTTTTTAGGAAGGTCTTTCACCAAGAGGAGAGGAGACGGCAGGAGGGAGGAGAGGGAGGGAGAGAGAGAGGAGGAGAGGAGAGGATGGGAGGGAGGAGAAGAAAGAGTGAGACCAGCATCGAGTGACGCATATACTCGTCATGCTGCTCCTGCATTAGGCGATGGTTACGGCACAGCAGCACAATCAACACAACTATCACCGTCAGGAGGAGGAGCAGCAGCCGCAGCAGCAGAGGCAGCAGCAGGAGTAGCAGGGCCAGCAGCAGAGGCAGATGCCACCGTCCCTAGGCCCACCTATCCAGATTCTAGCTCTGGCTGGCACTCCGACCCTCCCAGCCGCCCAACCTCCTCCCACCGATCCTCACTCGGCAGGTCCGGCAGCCGCCGAGCCTCCCTCTTTGGTCCGGGAAAGAGAAGCCGACGTGGCAGCCAGGAGTTGGCTGAGCTGGGAGGGGGGGTAGGGGTATACCAGTGTCTTGGTTACGAGGCTGGTGATTGGTTGGAACCCTGGGCAGGGGGAGAGGGACGCACAGATAGCGGGGAGGAAACAGGGGAGTTGGGAGGGGTTTGGAGGAGTGGGAGGAGGCGGGAGAAGAGCTGGGGCCGGGGGTCGAGAAGAGGGGGAGAGGGAGGGGGGGTGTCGGCGAGAGGAAGAGGGAGTGAGGGAGTGGTGGAGTGTGGGAGTCTGTCAAATGGAGAGTCGTGTCCCAGAGAAAGGGGTAGAGGTAGGAGTATAGAGAGGGGTGTAGGGAGAGGAGGAGATGTGGACAGAGACGAGGAGAGGGATGAGGAGGATATACAGGTGCCTGTGTCTCGAACTAGATCCAGTGAGACTCGCAGCCGGCGGGTTGACTTCTTGGATGTGGGGCTGGCTGGCAGCGGCAGGAGTAGCGGCAAGTGGAGCGAGGGGGGACTGAGCAGCCGCAGGGGAGGAGCAGGGTCGCGGGGAGGCAGCGGATTCTTCTCGCGGACAAGAGAGGAGAGAGAGAGGGAGGAGAGGGAGAGGGATAGTGATAAGGAGTTGGGGTCGCCGCAACCACAGCGAGTGCTGGATTTCAGAGACTTAGGGGAAGCAGATGGAGCGCAACCCATGCCCTCGTTTCTAGGCGCCATGCAGGCATGCACTGCCCCCTTTGCCTCTTCCCCCTTTGGTGCCTCGTCCACTCCCCCCTTACTCTCCCCCATGGCTCGTGCTCTCCCCCCACCACAACCCATCCTCGCTCGCCAGTCCATGCCGGCCCTCGCATCCGCTTCCGCACCTGTTTCCGCGCCTGGCTCCGAGCCTCGCTCCGTGCCCGAGCCTGCGCTCGCCCCAGGCTCGGCTCCCGGACCTCTGGTGTCGCAACGGAGCAACGTTTCCCAAGCTAGTGACTACTCTTCTGTCGTGGAGCTAAGCCGAAACAGCAGCGCACGGTCCCATGCTAGAGGCCAGGGTTTAGGGTTTAGACCATCTGAGGCATCTCAAGCTCACTCGTTGCTGTATACCGGGTATAATACCTCCCAAGGGAAGAGCTATCCTGGGAATTCTCAGACTCAGAGTGTGCAGCCCTTGGTTTATGCGCCTGAGGGGACTGTGCTGGGCAGGACTGAGAGTGACAACCTGGTAGGGTTGGGTGCGGAGCGGTTGGAGGGGTTTGGGAGGAGTAGGAGTGTGCGGGTGCAGGAGGGGCGGGGGCAGGGAGGAGTGAGGCCGAGAGGTGGTGGGAGGTATTTTTACTCTCAGCAACACCAGAGGCAGCCTAGGGTGGGTCAAGGGGGAGACGGTGGAGGAGGGGGAGGAGCAGGGGGAGCTGGAGGGGGAGGAGCAGGAGGAACGGGGAGAGGGGAGGAGGGGGGGAGGGGGAAGCGCGGCACAGGTATGAGTGTGGGAATGAGTATTAAGAACATGCTGTGGGGGCAGTCATCAAATGTTAGCACCCAGCGGCTTGATACTAGTGATGAGGAGGAGGAGAGGGAAGGAGAAGGGAGGCGAGGAGGAGGGAGGGAGAGGGAGGGAGAGGAGCAGGATGAGGAGGATGAGGAGGAGGAGGGGGAGGAGGGGAGTGAGGGAGGGGGGTCGGTGTGGCTGATGGTGGCAGTGAGGGATACGGGTATTGGGATCAGCCGGGAGAAGCAGGGAGAGATTTTCCACAACTTCGTGCAGGCAGATACGTCGAGCACAAGGGTGTATGGCGGCATTGGGCTTGGTCTCAGCATTGTGCAGAGGTAAGCTTCTTGAGACGTATTAGGAGAAGCAGGGGGGGATTTTCCACAACTTCGTGCAGGCGGATACGTCCAGCACACGCGTGTATGGCGGCATTGGCCTCGGGCTTAGCATCGTGCAGAGGTAAGCGGGGAGGGAGGGAGGGAGGGAGGGAGGGATGTGTGGTGATGAATGAGGGGCAGGGGGGAGGGCGGTAGGGCGTAGAGGCACCCTGTAGTAGGCAGGGTTGTGGGCCGTGGGGGACGTATGGGATGGTGCGTGCGTCCAGTTTTGAGTCGATTCAAAGGGTTGTGGGGGACGTATGGGATGGTGCGTGCGCCCAGTTTTGAGTCGATTCAAAGGGTTGTGGGGGACGTATGGGATGGTGCGTGCGTCCAGTTTTGAGTCGATTCAAAGGGTTGTGGGGGACGTATGGGATGGTGCGTGCGTCCAGTTTTGAGTCGATTCAAAGGGTTGTGGGGGACGTATGGGATGGTGCGTGCGTCCAGTTTTGAGTCGATTCAAAGGGTTGTGGGGGACATATGGGATGGTGCGTCCATCACTCGGGTGTATGGCGGCATTGGGCGGGGCCGCGGGGGCTCTGCCTTCTTCTTCACAGCTCGCGTTTGCTCTGGTTCTAACTCCCCTCTCCTATGTATTTTCCCGCTTCCCCATCCCCCAGTCTGGTGCACATGATGGGGGGCGAGAATTGGATGGAGAGTGAACCCGATCGAGGCTCTGCCTCCTTCTTCACGGCTCGCCTCAACCCTCCATCAATCCCCCTTCCCCGCCTGCCCCTTCCCTCCTCTCCCCCCAGTCTGGTGCACATGATGGGGGGTGAGATCTGGGTGGAGAGTGAACCAGACCGCGGCTCGGCTTTCTTCTTCACAGCTCGCCCTACCTCCACCATTTCCTTCCTGTCTTTCTTTCCCCCCTCCACTCACCTCTATGTTTCCCTCCCCCCCACACTCCCTCCCCCCAGTCTGGTGCACATGATGGGGGGCGAGATCTGGGTGGAGAGTGAACCCGACCGCGGCTCTGCTTTTTTCTTCACGGCTCGCCTCAACCGCGCGCCCCCCGGCTCTGCTCCCATCTTCGGCAGCGGCCTCACTGCCTCTCTCCTCCCGGACCCTGTCCCCGGCTCGCCTTCCCACCTCTCCTCCCCCACACGCTCCGTTTCCGCCGCTGCTCCTTTCGAGAATCACCAGCAGCAGCAGCAGCAGCAGCAGCAGCAGCAGCAGATCCAACAAGGTCCCGAGTTGACCGGCCCACGTCACCACGGGTATCCCTCAGACATGCATGCGGGAATGGCTAGCCTGCGCAGCAACCTACCTCTGGACATCCCTGCCACTCCAGGCTCTAGCCACGGGGGCAGCGGCAGACGCCCCTCCTCCCGAGGCGGCCCTGGGGGAGGCTTATCCCGGGTAGGTAGCAGCTCGGGCAGGGCAGACCGGATGCGAATGGGGAGTTCAGGCGGAGGAGGAACAGGGGGAACAGGAGCAGCGGGTGTGGATTATTCAAGTCCGAGATCTCAGCTGATAGGGGCGCTGGGGATGGGTCTTCCTCTGGTGCTTCCAAGCCCTATGGCGTACCCTGGTGGTCCTGGCACTCGCAGTGGCCGTTACTCCAACCTTGCTTCTCCTTCCCCGTCTGCTGCCCACAACGCCACTGCCGCACCGTTCAGCATGAAATATGCACCGCTCTCCACCCCTTCCCCCCGCTCTGCGGGCATCTGGAGAGATTTAGAACCTTCCCCGCTGTGGTCGAGACCTGTTAGTAGGGAGGGGAGGGTTAGGGCAACGCGGATGGCGCCTGGGGGGTTTGGAGGGGGAGGAGGGCGAGGAAGCTGGCTGGGGCAGAGTACGGGAGGGGATTCGGGGTCACTGGGAGGGGATTCGGGGAGGGCGGGTTCAAGGGGAGGGGATTCGGGGTCGAGAGGAGGGGATTCAGGGAGTAGGGGGTCAAGAGGAGGGGAATCAGTGGCAGGGGAGGTGGTAGAGGTGACGGTGTCTGGTGCTGCTGGTATGGCAAATGCTGCTGCCGTCTCTGCTGCCGTTGCAGCGGTCGATGCTGCCGCTAATGCTGCTCGTGCTTCTGACGCTGCTGCTGCTGCAGCGACGGCACCAGCAGAGGTAGGAGGTGCAGGCGCACGAATAGCATCAGCCGGGGCGCAGATACCAGGCGGAGGGGCAGCAAGGCTGCGTGTGGGAGTGAGAGGAGACGCACTCATTAACACCTCAAATTCCTATAACGACTCTTCGGGAGCGTCGTCCCCCTCGGATGATGCGTTTGACTTCAACATGTTTAACTCTCAAATGCGGGCCAATGCTGCCCTGCCCTCTCCCTCAGCCGCTGCTGCTGTTGGTGCTTCTGCTGGCGGTGCGTCGCGGTATTACCACTCTATGCCCATCTCGCCCACGCCCATCCGCTCCCACTCCTCCTCCGCCGTGCCTCGAGTGACACCCGTGGCAGCAGCGGCAGCAGCGGCACCAGGGGCAGCAGTAGCAGCAGTAGCAGCGCCGCATGCCATGGTATCAGCGTCAGCAGGAGCTTCCCCAGCTGCAGCAAGCCCAGCAGGAGCAGTGGCGGCAGTAGTGGCAGCAGCAGTGCCCCCACGGCCGCAGTCGCAACATGCCCCCTCTGCATCCACCATCACAGGCATCAGCCTGCTGGATGACTGGGGTTTCATGGCCCCTCCACCCGTTTCCCACAGCATGCCCACCCTCTTCCCCCTGCCTGCTTCTGCTTCTGCTGCTTCTTCTGCGTCTGGTGCTGCCACTCCGCCTGCTGCTGCCATTCCGTCAGCCTGGGTCCCCTTTGGTGCGGCTGGTAACTCGCAGCAGCACCCGCCACAGCAGCAGCAGCAGCAGCAGCAAGTGGGGGGGCAGGTGGGTTCCCGCCACAGGGTCAGCAGCAGCTGGTGCCCGGAACTAGGAACAGCAGCTGCTGCTGCTCTTGCAACCACCACAGCTTCTGCTGCTGCTGCCCCCAGCGGTCCTCCTATCAGTGGCGTTCGAGGGGTGGGTGGCAGTGCAATCGGTGGTACTGCTGCTGCTAGTATCGCCGGTGCAGTAGGTGCTATGGGCAGTGGGGCGGTATCAGACCCGTCACTCTATTCCCAGGTGGTGTCAGGCAATTTCGATCTTCTCACTGGGGGTTATTCGCCTCCTCCTAACAACGACTCCTTCTCCTCCTTCCTCACCACCTTCGCTTCTGGTCCCGCCCCTCAACGTTCTTCTGCTGCGCCTAGTATGGCTGCCGCAATGCCAGTCGCACCAGCAGCTTCAGCTGTAGCACCAGCCGTAGCAGCATCTCCTTCTGTAGCACCTGCTACTGCAGCACCTGTTACTGTAGCACCTGCTGCAGTAGCATCCCGAGGTGATGGTGGGGGCGGCAGTGGAGGAAGCAATGGGGTGAGCGCTGGGAGTGGCGGAGCTAGCAGCTGCACTGGGAAGGCTGGCGCAGAGAGGCAGACAAGTAGCAGCAGCAGCAGTGGTGCTGGTGCTGCTGCTGGTGCCGCTGATGCTGCTGCTGCTGGTGTGAAGGCACGAGATACGCCTTGCTCCTCGCATCCCGCTGCTGCCAACAGTTGGCCTACTGGTCATTCCCCCTCACACACTGTCACAGCAAACACTGCTGGAGCCGCCACTGCCGTTGGCGCTGCTGCCACTACTTATATTAATAACAACCACAGCAGCAACAACACTGCTAATACCGCCACCACCAACACTGTCTCTACGACTGCCATAACCACCAACAACGCCAATAGTGTTACCATGACCGCTAACGCCAACGCTGCCGCTGCCAGTGCCTATATTCCCAGCCTGGCGTCTCAGCTGCGGCCAGTCACACCAGGCCACGTGGACCCCCCTCCCCCACTCGTCTCCGGCCAATCACGGCTGCGCACGTCAGCCACAACCGGCCGGCTGCACAGCGCGCGAAGCGAGGAGCAAGGGCGGCTTGCATTCGAGGCCTCTCAGGTTTACGGTGCGAGGAGAGAGGGGCAGGTGTACGGTGTGAGGGGCGATGGGGAGATTCAGGCTGTGAGGAGCGAGGAGCAAGGTGGGGAGGGTAGTTTTGACGTTTCGGCATTGCAGGTTGTGAAGAGCGAGGGGGGGCAGGTTGAACGGACGCTGGACCGCTTTCGGCACCGGCAGCAGCAGCAGCAGCAGTATCAGCGTCATAACTACCAGCAGCAGAAGCCAACACAAGACGCACAACCCACCGCGCAGCAGCAGCAGGAGAAGCAGCAGCGGCTACTGCAGCAGCTGGAGCTGCGAAGTCAAGTGTCAGCGCAATTCTACCAGCCCCCTCCAGCCCACCTGCACCCTCTCTGGCCCCTCCCCTCCCGCCGCTTGGAGCACCGAAGCTCCGACCCAGGCTTGGTGGCGAGGCACCTGGCAGCTCTGGAGTCTGCCGTGGGTAGCTCTTGGCCTGGGAAGGAGGCTGGGGAAGGGAAGCAAGCAGCAAAGCCTGTAAGTTCTGTGCTGATGTGTGAGGATGCGTGCTGATGTGTGTTGATGTGTGTTGATGTGTGCTGATGTGTGGACGTGTGTTGATGCGTGCTGGTGTGGCTGATGTGTGTTTATTCACTGCCCCCAAGTCTCCATGCCTTTCAACCCCTCTGCTGCATCTGCTATTGTGCTCCTCACTACCACGCTCCCGCTCTCCTCCTTCCCCTCTGCTGCCCTGTGTCTGATTCGGTTCAGTGTCCCTTCAACCTCCCATACACGTACTCAGATCCTCTTTGTATCTGCTTTTTTCTAAGCGCCCAAACCACGCTACTCCTCTCCGTGTCTGCCCCTCTGATCCCCCCCACTCTACCTCCCATACACGTACTCGAATCCTCTTTGTATCTATTGCCGGCAACCTGCCGCCATCGCCCTCTCTCTCCCCACTGCTACCTCCCTACTCCCTGTCGTCCCCACTCCCTCCTTCTGCCTCCCACCATACTCACTCTAATCGACCACAACTGCTATCCTCATTTTCCGTCCCACATGCTTCAGCGCCCTCTCTCACGGCCACCTCCCTTCTTCCCCTCCCTCCTTCCTCCCACACAGGCACTCCAGTCCTCTGCCTCTGCTGCCCTCAACCCGCCACATAAGCGCCAGTGCCCTCTCCTCATGGCCACCTCGCTTCCCCTCTTGTTCCCCCTCTTGTCTCCCCTCCCCTCCCCCCCCCCCCCACCCCCTTCTCAAAAACAGGCACTCCAGTCCTCTGCCTCTGCTGCCCTCAACCCGCCCACAAGTGCCAGCGCCCTCTCCTCACAGCCACCTCCCTGCTCCCTCTTGTCTCCTCCCCACCCCCCCTTCCTCTCTCTTCTCTCCCACCCTTTCCCCACACACAGGCACTCCAATCCTCTGTCTCAGCTGCCCTCAACCCGCCCCACAAGCGTCAGCGCCCTCTCCTCACGGCCACCTCCCTGCCGCACCCTGCCTCCCACACCTCTCGCTCCTTCACCTCTGCGGCTGCTGCTGCTGCTGCAGCTGCTGCTGGCGGCGGTCCTGCTTCAGGTGGATTCTCAGGTGCTGGTTCAGGTGGGAAGCTAGCACGAACAGGGTCTGGTGCCGGTGCTGGTGTCAGTGTTGCCACATCGGCCGTGGGGAGAGATGCAGCTGCAGTTCCCGGGGGAAAGAAGAAGCAGCATCTGCAGCAACAGCAGCAACAGCAGCCGCAGTTCCAGTTGCTCTCGTCCCACCCTCTCTCCTCCACCACCGTTCCCTCTGCTGCCTCCAACCCTCACTTCTCCTTCAGCAGCAAGAGCCTACGCACCTCGCCCTCCCACTCCTACTCCTCTGCTGTTGCTCTCTCTGCTGCTCCTCCTTCCGCCCTCTCTTCTGGTCTTCCCCCTCACCCCCAGTCTGCTCTTATCCGTACACGCTCTGACCCATCTCAACTCCTAGGTATCCCCAGAAAGGTTCGGGATAGGAGCCCGGTTCGGCCCGAACCTGCGATTCCGCCCGGACCTGGACCTGCAGGTCGAGGGCCTGCAGCAGGCCCAGAGACAGGCCGGGTAGCCGGTAGCCATATGTCTGGTTTGGGTGCAGGCTTGCAGACAGGTTCGGAAAGCAGGCCCGGGCTGATCTTCGGGAGCAGGTCTGCCTCGGTGTTGGTTCCAGGTCCGGTGCTGGGGGGCATGAGCTTCGGTAGCCGGTCGGCATCTGGTGCGGTACTTTCCAGGAAGCTGAGCCGAGTGAGAGAAGGGGAGAGGGAAGGGGAAGGGTCACAGAGAGAAAGGGAAGGGGACCAGATTGTGGAGGAAAAGGAGGAAGGAGAAGAGGCAGGGGAAAGGCAATGGGGAGCGGTTTTGGAAGGAACAGAGGAAGGGGAAGGGGAAAGGGATGTGGTTGGGCATGGTGTGGATATGCAGAGGAGGGAGGTGAAAGAAGGAGCAGGGCGTGATGCTGTGGCGAGAGCACTGACGCAGCTTGGGCAGCAACAGGGGCAGCAGCAACAGCAGGGGCAGCAGCAGCAGCAGGGGCAGCAGGGGCAGGAGAAGCAGCAAGATGAGCAGCAGGCATCAGAGGCAGATTCCAGTCCATGGAACATCTTACTCTCGCCAATGGATCCCAACCACACACCCCATCCCTTCCCCTCCCTCCCTCCTGCCCTCCTCTCCCACCCCCCACCCTCCCATGCTCTCTCTCGCCCAGCCCTCCCTTCGCCTCTTGACCTGCCACTTGTCCCGCAGCCCTGCCTCTCCTCGCCTCCCTTTGTCTCTGGTGTTTCGGAACCTGCACGTTCTGATTCTTCCAAGCCCGCTGCTGCAGCTACAACCACCCAGCCTCCGCTTACTATTTCTGCTGCTGCTGCTGCTGCTGCTGCTGCTGCTGCTGCTGCTGCTGCTGCTGCTTCTGATTCTGCCGCTCCTGGTGCTGAAGCTGCTGGCACCACTGCTGCTGCTACAGCTGCAACAGCTGCAGCTGCATCTATTAGAATGGAAGCGGAGGATGGGTCAGGGCCCCTATCAGAACCCCTATCAGGCCCACTATCAGGGCCCCTCAAAGAGGCGTATCGGCAGGACATGGCCGGAAAAGTGGGTGGGAGGAGCAGGAGGATCAGCGGCAGCACCAGCAGCAGCAGCGGCGGCAGCGGGACGGCGGGTTTCAGTAACCCCTGGGTGGGCTCCTCTCGTGGCCTCGAACCATCATACACGCTCGAATCCTCATGTACTGTGGACTCTCATCTCTCTTCTCGCACCTTTGGCTCAGGCTCAGACCCTTGGACCCCCACCACTGGCGATGGCTCTGCTTCCTTCTTCCACTCCTTTGCTACCTCTTCCACCTCCACCACCCCCACTGCGCTCACCCCTGTTGATGGCACCACCCCCACCACCACCGCTGCCAACACCCCTGTTGAGGGGGTCACTCCTACCACGCCTGCCAGCAGCACCGCTTTCAACCGCGCTCAAAAGTCCCCCACCACCCCAGCTGCGTCTGAGAAAGATTCCCCAGCTGCCGTTGCTATGAGCAGGCCTATCAGCAGGGGAGGTAAGAGTGGGCAAGGGATCAGCAGCAGCTGCAGCTTCAGCAGCAGCAGCAGAAGCAGCTTTGAGGCGCCTCAGAAAAGCTCTATGAGCGCTGCTACTGTGAGTGGAAATCCTGGAGGCAGCAGGAGCAGCAGGAGCAGCGTTGAGGAGCCTCGGATAGGCTCTGTGAGCTCTGTTGTGGGTGGGAATGCGGGAGGTAGTAGCAGCAGCAGGAGCAGCTTCGAGGCGGCTCATAAGACTTCTGTGAGCTCGTCTGTGGGTGGGAATGCGGGCAGCAGTAGGAGCAGCAGGAGCAGCCGCAGCAGCATGAGCCTGTCTCCGACAGGGCTTGGGCAGGGCAGTGGGGATGGTAGTGCTGCTGCTGCTAGCTCTGGTGGCGATGATAGGCGCAGCTCAGAGCAAGAGGGAGGGGAGAGGCAGCACAGAAAGCATCACCACCACCGCCACCATCACCATCACGAGGGACAGCATGAGCAGCAGCAGCAGCAGCAGCAGGCAGTGAGCAGCACTGCAGCAGGAACAGCAGCAGTGGGACCAGCAGGAGCAGCAGCAGGAGCAGTAGCAGCGCGGCACAAGAGCGGGCCTCTAGTGGCCATGCTGGCAGGGGTGCGCATATTGTTAGCAGAGGACAACCTGGTGAATCAGCGCGTGGCCACACACGCCCTCTCCAAGCAGGGAGCGCGGGTCGAGGTGGTGGGCAACGGGCAGCTCGCTCTCACTGCCATGGAGGAACGGGCGGCGTCGTTCGACCTCATTCTCATGGACATTCAGGTGGGTTGCTGCTCCTCCTTCCTCATTTCTGTCCGACCAAACCCTGATCCAGATGCTAATGATCGATGGGCTGAAGGCCACTCGCCATGTGTAAACACACTTAAAGCCCCTTCCCTCCCCCTCGTCCTCCCTCTCTATTTCTGTTACACTGAACCATAATCCAGATGCCCGTCATGGATGGGCTGGAGGCCACTCACCACCCAAATTCCTCACTTACCCTCTCCTCCCTCCCCCTCTTGTCCCCCTCATTCCTGTCCGATCAAACCCTAAACCAGATGCCCGTCATGGATGGGCTGGAGGCCACTCGCCGCATTCGCCAGCTGGAAGCTTCGAGGAGGCGTCTCTCGGGCAGCAAAGCAGCGCGGCAGCACCACAAGGGTCAGCAGCACGGGCAGAAGGAGGGGAAAGAAGGGGGAGGGTCAGGGGGAGAGGGAGGGGGAGGGGGAGGGGAACGAGAGGGGGGAGCGGGAGGGGGAGAGGGAGGGAGGATAGGGATAGTGGGGTTGACGGCCCATGCAATGGCTGGGTACAAGGAGCAATGCTTTGAAGCGGGTATGGATGGATATGCCACTAAACCCTTCAAAATTGAGATGCTGGTGCGAGCGATTAAAGCCGTGCTGGGAGGGGCTGTGAACGTGGATGGCAGTAAGTAAGTAAACTGGGATATAATGTGGATGGCTGGCATGGCACGAAACGGGAGATTGGTTTTAACTACAATAAGTACACTGGGAACGAATGGGTCCGAGGAAGCGCAAGCGACAAGGGGAAGATCATCACTTGAGATATGGTTTTAGGGACACAACACAAGTCAGCTGAGATTCGTTTTCACATTAAAGCTGCGGTCTACATACTAAAAGGGTTTTTTTGGGGCCAATCTAACTGCACACCCTTTGGCGCATGCTGGTTCGAGAGCGAAGTGAGCTGCCACCCCCAATCACCTGTGCGAGGATTTCAAACAGCGTTTGCGATGAGAAACAATTTCGCGGGCGAAGTTTGCTTGGCGGAAGTACACCGCGAAAATGCGGAAGATCCTGCGCCCAACACAAACACCCAAGCGGAACAGAAAACGCTGGCCAGAGAGAGCAGTACTGCCAAACTGCTCTAGCCTGCGAATCCCTGTACTAGCAGCAGGTAGCGCATCAGAATAATGCACGCCACCGTGCTCACCGCCTCGAAATTGCCCTGTGGCTCATGCTGTAGTGTCAGCTTCACGCAGCCGCGCATCAGAATAATGCACGCCACCGTCGCAAACCGCCGCGAAATTCGCCTGTGGCGACGGATGTAGTGTCAGTTTCACGCAGCCACTGTGATAGCCGCGATTCCTGCTAGCAGCGTGTAGCGTGCAGTATGTTTAGCGCCAACCCGCTCACATCCACGATTCTGGCCAGCTGCGCGTACCGTATCGCCTGCTTCACGCCCAAGTATGTAGAGCCGCGATTCCCGCTCGCGGCGACTGATTCCCGCCCCCACGCTATGAGCCGCGATTCCCGCGAGTAGCCTCACCCGTTTCCCTCCAATTCGCACCTCCCTTTCCCCCAAATCGCACCTCCGTTTAGGGGTACTTGGAGGGACTGGGTTACCCTGTTTTCAAGTGATAAACCTTTGCCTCCCGCTTGAGGTATGTAGACCGCAGCTTTAAGATCTCCCAGGATCTCCATCTTTCTTTCAAAACAAGAAATGTAACTCTGTTTTTGGAGATTTCAAATTCTTTTCTCTTGAACTTGTAGGACAATTCTGTACTCGGGCTTTAAACGAACAGCGTCAAGCTCCTTCCACACTACGTCAAGAACTCCAGACAATGGCAATTGGGAATGGCAACTGGGAATGGCGAATGCATACAATGCCGATTTCGGCACATTACGAAAGTAGCACATTCTCGTGCGCAAAGTCAGATATAGATGGGTCAGAAGCATATCAACACTCATGAACATGAAAGCCTTCTATTTGTGCTTACGGCCGCGCCTGAAGACACCCTTGTGCTTGCCACGAAAGCCCTTACGCTTGTGTCCTCCGAAGTGTCTTTTGTGCTTGCCACGAAAGCCACCCTTGAACCTGCCCTTAAAAAAGCGGCCCTTGCCTTTCTTCTCACTGTCGTATCCGCCAGTAAGACCAGTCACGACCACATCCCCACGTGGTGTGGGGCCATCTGAAATCGGGTAGCGAGAATGCGAGTACAACGAATCAGTACGTAAACCAAATGCTTGGCGAGAAAGGCGAAAACCAGGGTGAAAATTACCGAGCGGTAATGGGCGGAACGAGATAGCGACGTACCTGGGCGAGGATAGTCATACGGGCTGGGGTCGGTTCCGCCGTCTGGGAAGGATGCAAGCACGAATTCAGCGGAACAAGTCAGAACTACCATAAAGGGGAGAAAAACTAGCAATCCGCTGAACGAAGGACGCGAATGACACTCACAGTAAGACATGATGACAGTCGACGGAAAACTGACTCCAAGAATATGAACTTAGTGACTGGAATGAAAGCTCGAGGTGCAAGGATGGCATTATGTATGAGCGGAATTCTTCTCAGGGCGTGTCCCACGACTTCTCTTTTGGTTCAAATTCTGCGGTGGAGAACGGTTCAAACTCTTTTAGAGCGGTTTGTCTGTTCCACCTCTTTGAACCGTGACCCACCAGTCTGAACAGTGATACATGGGCTGAAAACGATCTCGTGGGACACTCCCTCACATCCTTTCGAGGATTGCACAGATAGAAATGAAGTCTCGGTCGCTACACCGTGATAGAATACGTATGACTGCATAGCATTCTTTTCTTTTGAATATTCTTTTTGCTTTCAACCGTCAGCCTGCAAAAATCATTTGAGTTCCGTCGACTGAAACTTGCTCTGATGTGCTCGGAATTTTGAAGGGGGGCTTCCGCGTTTGCGAGTTCTTGTTTGCAAATCTGGGCATAATCATGTCCAGTCATTCCAACAACACTTTGGGACGGGGAATGTCAAAACATGTTTGTTAGGCTATAGTGAAGATAGCTATAGGGGGTACATCAGTTTTAGGGTTTCATATTTTGTCAGAATCTAGTAGCAGGAATGAATGAACTATGAAAGAGTTGGGTACAAGTATGAAACCCTAAAAGGGGCTGTACCCCATATTGGCTACCCCACTACACCCTACACATATGTAACATGCATATACTTTGACACACCCCCATAGGCAAAGTGGGGGAGAGCAAGGGGTCACAAGACCAGTCAAGAGAAGCAAAGCAAGTTCAGGGTGGATCACAACGTCACCACACACACTGAGCACAAGCAAAGGGCCACAAGGCCAGTTCACATGCAGAGCTATATATGCAAAAAACAACAGCACAGTGATCTCTACCTAGCAGAGCAAGCATGCAGGTATATATATAGATCGCAGTACAAGCAAAGTCTACAGCAAGTGAGGAAACGTGGGCACAAGGCCTAATAGAGTGCAGAAACGCTGATGATCACCAGACGGAAGCGCCTTGGTGAATATATCAGCAGTGTTGGCCCGAGTGGCCACGTGAGCAAGACGAAGCTGACCACGCTGCTGCAACTCTCGAGCCAGGAAGTAACGCAGAGTGATGTGCTTCGTTCTGTGCTCCAGTCTGTGCTCCTGACACAAGGCAATGGCGGCCTTGTTGTCGACGTACAGCACTGGAGGAGAACGAGGCCGCTCTCCCAAGTCGGTCAGCAGGTAGGTGAGCCAGCGTAACTCCTGTGCAGCCATGGCTGTGGCGTAGATCTCAGCCTCACAACTGGAGCTGAGAACTGAAGACGAGCGTGTAGAACGCCAAGAAACCGAACCAGAGCCAAGGCTGAAGGTGTAACCCTGTGACGACCGCTGCGTAGCCTGGTCGTCAACCCAAGAAGCGTCCGAGTGCCCAGTGAGGACAACGTCGCCCCGTCCTCCAAGCATGAGCCCCATGCCCGATGTACTGCACAAGTAGCGCAGTACCCTCTTAGCAGCATCCATGTGCACCTTTTGGTGCCGACCAGGAGCCACGTAGCGAGCCAGAAGGCCAAGAGGGTACGCAAGGTCAGGACGAGTGCAGGTCATCAGGTACATGAGGCAGCCCACTAGCTCTGGGTAAGGACCACTCGGCTCTACGGACTCGTTCGAAGGTGGAGCTGAGAGCGAGTGACCTGTAGCCAGAGGAGTGGCCTGTGCCGAGGACCAGGTGAAGCCGAAGCGCTGAAGGACCTGCTGCACCATGTGTGACTGAGTCAGTGTGATGGTGCGGCGTGCTCTGTCCCGGGTGATCTGCAAGCCAAGGTAACTGCGCAGCTCACCCAGGTCTGTGCACGTGTGTCTCTTCTGCAGCTCCGACTTCACCAGGGCAAGGGCCTCAGTGTCAGCAGTGGCAAAGACCAAGTCGTCAACGTACACGAGGATGTAGAACGGCGGCAGCGAAGTGTCGGTGCGCAGAAACAGCGACGGGTCAGCAGTCGACGGAGCAAACCCAAGAGCCGCAAGTGTCGTCCTCAGTGTGTCGTGCCACTCACGTGGCGCCTGGCGGAGACCGTAGACCGGCCGCCGGAGGCTCCACTGGGTACCAGGAGGGAACGACCCAGTGAAGCCAGGTGGGCGGCGCAGCCAGATCTCCTCGTGCAGGCTGCCCTGTAAGAAGGCTGTGCTGAAGTCAAGAGAGTGAAGCTCGTAGTCACGCTGAGCGGCAACATGCAGCAGCACCCGAAGAGTGGTCATCTTCGGGGTGGGGGAGAAGGTCTAGAAGAAGTCTACTCCCTCTCGCTGACTGAAACCTCGTGCAACGTAACGCGCCTTGAAGACAGGCGGAGAACCCGGCGGCCGCTTCACCCTGAAAATCCACATGCCACTGACGATGTTCGCCCCAGGTGGGGGAACCTCGTTGACGTAAGTGCCTGTGGACTTCAAGGATGCCATCTCTGCGTCCATGGCTGTCTGCCACTGAGAGGAGTACTCACCCGCTATCGCCTCAGCGTAAGAGCGCGGGGTCGGGATGTCTGGAGCATCCGGGTCTCCCTCAGGGGCAAGCAGCATGGACACGAGATGAGGCGCAGCGGCTGCAAGACACTCAAGGTCCTCCTGCCTGTCCTCAAGGACGTCCGTGCCAAGAGCACACTCACCCCCGACGGACGGAGGACAGACAGACTCAGACTCAGCAACAAGACTAGCGGCGTAGTCTAGACGACAGGCAGCAGCAAAGTCAACAAGCTCAGCGACTAAGGCAGACGCAGCAGCAGACTCAAACGACGGGTCAGTGACAACAGTGGCTAGCAGACGCGTGACAGTAGGGTGCTCAGCACGAAACCGGTCAGACTCAGGGTCCGCAAGGACAGGCAGAGAAGACGCAGGAGGAGACGGCAGAGGAACACGCTGCGAAGGAGAGGAAGGACGACGGACTACGAGGTCGGGCTGACGCGGACGAGGAACACGACGACCGGACCAACCAGAACGGACAGGCGAGACAGGACGCGACGCAGGCTCACGACGCTCAGTAAGACCCCCTGTCTGCTCAGTGTAAGGAGAAGGAGCAGGCAGCGGTGAGCCAGGCTGTAACGGAAGACCAGTAGAGGAAGGGAGACTAAGAACCTGGCGAAGCACAGAGTCAGGCGGTGGCTGAGACGACGGAGACGGTGGAGCGAAGAACAGGCGCGGCTGTGCAGTGACACCTGCACCAGCAGCTCCAGTACC